TACATATATACATATATACATATATACATATATACATATATACATATGTGTTGTATTTGTGCTGATAAATAAATAAAGGGAGACTAGTATAGATCTATTTCAAGCTATTTAGCTCTCATCAGCTAGCCATACCCTTACTGGGATTCGAACCTGTGCTGTATTGCATCTTAGGCAGATGTGTTAACCATTAAGCCACAGAGTTGGACTCTTTATCAGCTAAGCCAGGGTGATAGGTATCTATTTAAAGTTACAACCCCCGGTATGCCCAAATATTTTATAAAGTCTGTACAAATTTCTTACAGTAATTTACCAATACAGCAGATCCTAAAGGCATCACAGTAGACTTTTTCCAGATAATAGCAAAACCATATTGCTCCAATACAAATTAGTAATGACATTACATAATCATCAAGAAGAGTCATAAAATTAGCAGCAGAAAAGAAAAAAATTATATTTAGCATATAAGTGCTACTACATCAATATTTTGAGGCTGTCTAATAGAAGGCACCACTGCTTCAATAATCAAGTTGAAGATTAAAGGAGCAACTTTGGGCAACTTTGCTGGGTGCTGTGATATGATACAACCTGATAGGTTGAGAGATAAATCCACCCATAATAATACATCTTGTTACCTCTTTGACATGGAGAACTTAATTGGTGAAGAACTTAACTTCACCAATTAATACTTACTTTGCATAAGTGGTAAGAAATGAACTGTTAAAGTGTATGGAAAATATGTTTTATATTTAATTGGTATAAACATTGGGCAGGCATAACCTTTTTGATCAATTTGTGGTATTGAATCAGTTTGACAGATTAGTTCATGGAACTGAATGTTTCCAAGTGGATTCAGACACTATGTATATGCACCTGGACTTTAATGGTCTGGATCAATCTAAATCCAATCAGGTTGAATTCGGAAATGTAGCCTAAATTGATTCAGGCATCTGAATTAAAAGAGATTTTTTGAAACCATTCAGATGTTTGAATTGAATTAGACCCAATTTGCACATCTTTGATAAAAATAACTGAAAATTGTCAGTTTGATTTTATGATATCTAGTAAACTATTACAATGTAATTCAATATAATTAGAAAAACATGCATTATTTTTATGTTTATTAAGAAAAATTAATATACTTTTCCCCCTAGGTATCATTGATTTTCTTGTGAGCCCACATCCAATTGCCAAAGTACTACGGGATCATTTGGTCTTCAAAATCGCTCCTATGCTTAATCCAGATGGAGTTTATCTTGGCAATTACAGGTATGAGTATGCAGTATAGGATGACTGATATACTTGGGTTAGTTAACTTCTAGGGCCAGAAAACAGGAAAAGAGAATTTTAAAAGACTGAGATAAGAAAATACCTGATCAAGTCGATAAAGCTAACCAATTAAGTCATGTTTACATATTTTGAATATAAGACTTTTTAGTTCACCTAATCATCATTACACTTAAAGTACTTTAAAACTTAGTCATGATTTCTTCACATTATGCTCATCATCTACAGATCTTAAACAACTTCAGCTATGAGAGTCTAGATATTTCAGAGAACATCTTCAGCCAATCAGTGTTTAATCCAAGCAAGGCAGCAGCTGAGTAAAGAAAATTTCAGTTACGCAGTACAGCTAGTCCTCGACTTACGATCACAATTAAGCCTAAATTTTCTGTTGTTAAGTGAGACATATGTTAACTGAGTTTAACCTCATTTTCAAACCTTTCTTGCCACAGTTGTTAATAACTGTGTCAACCTTCTAGTTGACGAACCCAGTCAAAATAAGCACAGTCGAAATGATCCAATCTCTTAATGCAAAACTTTATTGAGTACATCATTTCAGCACAGATGAGGGCAAAACCAGATCTAAGTAATTCCCGCACAAATTAATAATTAAAGTATAGATTCTCCCTCCCCCATTAGATTAGGTCATGTTGTTCAATTGAGTCTCATTGTATTGTTATGAGAAAAAGTCTGACAAACACCTGCCGTAGTGCCCTTGGTTCTCACAGCTGTCTTCTTGATGTTTAGAGTCTACATTCCATTTCCCCTTTCCCTCCCCCCTGGTTCTTTGGCAAGCTGAGAAGTGATATTGGTTGCAACAGCAAAAGTGCACTTTGAACTTTGACACACTGCAGTTGTTAAGTTAGTAACATAGTTATGAAATGAATCTGGTTTCCCCATTGATTTTGCTTGTCTAAAATTTGCAAAAGATTTTGATCACATGATCATTGTATTGCTACAAAGGGTATAAGTGTGGAAAATGGTCATGTCACTTTTTTAGTGCTGTTGTAACTTTGAACAGTCACTAAATGAATTGTTGTAAATTGAGAACTACTTATAGTTACCCTTTCTGAAATGCTTACAAACACAGAATGAAATTGTGAGAATGCAAATTTCAACTGCCTCTAAAATCAGGTAGAAAAGTTACAAATCAAATTCCCAAAGATGGGGGGAGATTTGGAAAATTGTGTCATATCAATACTAATCTGTAATAATATAATGTGATCAATGAATTGAATGATGTCAATAGGTTGGGGAAAAATAAGTATTAGAAAATGTTTTTCCAATTTTTCTACCCTGTGTTTTTTCCTTATTCTAGCTAGTCATCCTTTACTCAGTTTTGATTTTTTTCTTAATTTAGTCAAAATGACATTCTATATATTTCCTTATTTACCTTCCTATAAGAGTGAAATAGCTGCTACTAAAAAGTTCAGTTATTTTGGGCATGATTAAACATGTGTCTTCATTATTTGATACCATGTGACTCAGATTACTGAAAGCTTGATAATTCGGCTGAAGATTTTCATAAGCAACTTTTCTGTGATCGTATAGTCAGATATAAATTCTCTCTGTGTTACTTGATCTGCCACTGTTTATTTTACATCTATGTGTCCAATTAACATTGCATGGTTAAGTTAAAGTGAATGAATACACTAACCAAAATGTAAAATCTAGAAACTCTTGTGAAGCGCTGAGCTTTTGAAAGACGGCAAATGAAAATTTGAAAATTTTCAATGTCATAACATCTTCTGCTTGAATGTGGAGATAAGACTGGCCTCTTCCTTGATATTCTTTCAAAACGGTTTTGCCAGAGGGCCAAAGAACATTGGAGTGATATAAATCACATCGAAGGGTTTTTATGACTGTTATTGGTGTGTGTGTGTGTGTGTGTGTGTGTGTGTGTGTGTGTGCGTTTATGAAGATTAATGTATTTTGTATTTGCAGTTTTATTTCTGTAAGCCATCTGGGCTCACCATGAGTGAGTTGGATGACTATATAAATTTTCTTAATACTTTTCTCCAGTTTAGTAGCAGATCACTGAGGAAGCTTGTTTGAGAATACAATGGAAGGTCTATTTTGAAGTCATCCAGATCACACTTATTACATCAAAACTAACACCTAGGCTAGAAACTTCTGTACAATTTACCTGTAAATGTGAAAGGAACATTATTTGTTTCAGTCATAGACTCTCATTTTGAAATGACATGAGGTTTATATATAAGTGTAAGGTTTTGAAGAAGAGGTGAGATTGACGTTCAGCTAATTGGTCAGTATCTTATTTATGATCTTTACATATTCAAATGTCTCAGAGATGGGTCTATTATTCGAATAGAATAGAAATAATGAAAAATAATGTATCAATATTTGTAAAGGTAGAGAAGCAATTTTCTTTCCTACATGCAATTCCCATGTTCTTTAGACCTCTTGCTATCTCTCTGTCCTTTGCTTTTTATTCAGGATTATATTAATTTTTAGGGAACTGCAAAAAAATTAGGGAAACATATATGGTCCATTGTCATCAATGACTTTGGGGAGGCTAAGTATTGCAGAAAGAATCACTTAATCATTGGACCAATAAGGTAAAGGTTCTCTTCACACATATGTGCTAGTTGTTCCTGATTCTAGGGGCTGGTGCTCATCTCCATTTCATAGCTAAAGCGCCAGTGCTGTCCGAAGAGATCTCCGTGGTTATGTGGCCAGCATGACTAAATGTCGAAGCCGCATGGAACGCTGTTACCTTCCCACCAAAGATGGTTCCTATTTTTCTTGCATTTTTACATGCTTTTGAATGGCTAGGTTGGCAGAAGCTGGGACAAGTAATGGGAGCTCACTCCATTTCGCGGTGCTAGGGATTCAAACTGCTGAACTGCTGACCTTTCTGATCAACAAGTTCAACGATTTAGCCACTGAGCCACTGTGTCCCTCTATTGAACCAACAGCACCCCATAATTTTGGCTTTTTAATCAGATGCTGGAAGTTTTGCTAATGAACTAAACGGACTGCTAATGAGAAAGTATTAGTTTGCTTTATACCTCATCATGTACACAAATGTAATTAATAACTTAAAATGAATATAATACATCACACTACCTATTATTGCAAGAGGGATATTACAATCTTGATAATGTGAGAATGCCATGGCTATTAAATAATTCACAGCAAGTTTTCATTGTTGAATGTGATGATGATGATGATGATGATGATGATGATGATGATGATGATGATGAAGATTTTAAAATCAGTTATCAGCAGGTGACAGCATCTGCTGACTTTGTCTTGGCTTAGAAGCCCTACAACCCTGAGTGCAATTCAAACTGGATGGGAGATGACCTGAGAATTCCAGGGCTGTAGACTAGGTTGAGAAACTGAAAATATCCCAGAAAAAGAAAATGATAAAACACCTTCATCCACCTTACTAGGAAAACTGCAATGAAGTCTCAAGCATCAGGTGTCACTTTTATTCTGCTTGAAAGTCAAAGTTGGTAAGCTGAATTTTAGAACTCAGAGAGGATGGTGTTTCAGCATGATTTCAATTCATAGTTCCATTTTTTCTACATTTGTCATTTTTGTGTGTGAGAAATATCCTCACTAAATTACATGGCAACATCATAACTAAGCCAGTTATACCATTTCCAGCAGTTATGGAGTTCATAGGAACATCATTTACTATGTCATTCATGGCAAATTTGAATTCTATTCTTACACTTAATGGGCATCACTGTGCTATGAAATTATTACTTTGGGGAGGTTCTTGGGAGTGCTAATTCTTGAATAAAAGCTGAATTCTATCAATTCTATGTCCATTTCTCTGGCTGGTTTTGAGTGTATTGCATAGGGAGAGTTTTATAATACATAAGAAAAAATAAACTGGTTCAGTGCAAATGCACAATATGCATTTGAACATAATAACAATAATGAGCATGAATACAGTGTATTACTCAAAATTGCTTCATGCAAAATACTCAAAGAAATGGAGCAAAAAGCATAATATTTTATAAGGATTTGTCATTGATAGAAGTCCTGTGAGATAATCTGTTATTATTAAAATGTTAGGATGGTTGTTTATGGCAATGAAATACAATTTTTGTTTTTTTCCCAAAAAATTATTGATGAATAGTTCTGATATTTTTGTGGCATTTGCTAAAACTGGATAATGATAAATGACATGCCTGCACTGATGATAAAAGGCTGACTCTGTTGGACACCCAAAGAATGAAAGCTGACCATTCAAGAAACAACCAATTACAATATAATACATGATAGTAATTTGCAATGCATTGGGATCAGGGCTCAAAAAGACAAAAAATAGAATTTAATTTGAGACCATTGGAAGCTGTGTGCATGGTTCAGGCCTGAACCCTTGAAAGGAAAGTGCAATCTATGATTTGCAATGGACCACATATGATTATGAAAATAGGCTTAAACTGATCCGACTGATAAAAGAGGCTTCTATCAGCGAAATACCAAAATAACATCTTTCCCTAATCTTTTGTGACTGCTACACTTCAAGGAAGAAAGTTGTTTTCTTCAGACTTTCAATATTTCCTGGCAGTTTAGCATTAATACCTTCTGGATATTTTGTGATACCTCCAGCAGCAATAGATAAGACAGAGAAACACAACAACGTACTCTTGATTTAAAAGCTGGCACATCCTGGGGCCAGGGTTGAACTTCCTTTATCCCAAGCTTGCTCTAAACATGTCACCATGTAGCTGAAAAAGTGACATCTGTTCCTGCAGGCAAGATGCCTGTAATGGTGCCATCTTCAGCTTAGATTAGTTCCAATTTGTCATTTTCACCTTGCAGAGATGAGAGACCCCCAGATGGCATGGAAGGTAATATGCTTCTTAATAGTGGCAGATCTCTGCTGAAGCGCCCTACTGTGACAAGACAGTAGCAAAAAAAAAAAAAAAGTGCTTTTATTCCTTCTGAAAGTTTTTACAATCAGAATCAACAGTTAGCAGATTCTGCTCTGTTCCGCACTA